TAAGACTCGCTCTTGGATCGTTACTCACACTTGCGTGTGGCTCCAACGATGATGTGTACAGCTGCCCATAGAACCTCTCAATCTCACTCAAAATCTCAGGTGTCCCGGAAATGACGCTGCCACACTCGGTCTTCAGCTTTAACAGTTGACTCTTTCTGGCAGACAGATCTCTAGCAAAGACTTTGGAGCCCTGGTTCCGCTCGATCGCTTCTTCAATACGAACAGTATTAAAGTTGCGTAAGTCCCGCCGCATGCATTTGGAGATCTGTCTGTTCAGTTGCCTGTATGCTGTCAAAACTACTGAAGACTGCAGCTTCATATCCCGTCTAACAGCCATGAGATTAAGAGCGTGATCGGAGAGTTTTGTGTTCTTCTGCGACGGTTCTTGCAAAACTTAGCTCCGACCGCATGGACAGTTTCCATAAGCTTGTCATTCATATCGTCCACTGCATTGCAATCTTCTAGGCACTGAAAACGGTTTCGTAACTCGAGCTGAAATGTTTTGGGACTTTGGATCAGAGCACGAGGGGGGGGGGGGGGGGAGCGTTGACTTCATGAGCCGTGACCTATCCAACTTAACGTTTAGGTTCAGTGTGCCTCTCACCATACGGTGATCGCTGCCGGTTTTCACCCTCGCGATCACTGAGACATCACTGAACAGTTGTCTTCTGGTCGTCATAATGAAGTCAATCTCATTTTTTGACAAACCTTCGGGGCTCGACCAGGTCCACTTCCTGTGGGCCCGCTTCTGGAAGAAAGAGTTCATCATAAAGGTCCCTCTTTCACCATGAAGTCGGCCAGCTGCTGGCCTCTTGGGTTCCGTTGCCCTATTCCGAATTTTCCTACTTTCAGCTCACCGTTCTCTCTTGTGCCTAGTTTTGCGTTGAAGTCTCCCATTAACACCGTATAGTGGGTTTTAGAGGAATGCATGGCTCTAGAAATATTCTCATACATTTCCTCCACCTCCTCATCGGGGTGTGCCGAGGTTGGTGCTTGACCTGTATGACCTTCAGCGAAGACCGTTTGGTGGTTCTGAGTATAAGGTACGCAACCCTCATCGACACACTCCCAATCTTTACAACGTTGTTAACGAAAGACTTGTGGACGATAAATCCGACACCTTCTTGGGACAGATGGTCGCCCTCCCGGTGACAGAACATGTTGCCGGATTCGAGGATTACCGTGTCCTCCCCTTCTCTTCGGACCTCGGATAATCCTAGGATATTCCAGCGCAACTTGTCTATCTCTTTTTCCAGCTCCAGGATCTTCTCGTCAGTCGTCAGGGTGCGTGCGTTATAAGTTGCCAGGTCGAGTGGTCGCAGGTGGCAACCGAACCTTCAACGGAGATTCTTAGCACCCCTGCCCCGCCGTTACCATGGTTGCCACCGTAGCCAGGAATAGCGGGGCCGCCGTGGACTGGGGGCCGTCTCTTCGTTACTCTCATGGGGGGTATATTGCCATAGTTGCCACGCTTGGCGAGTGGGTTGGCAACCGCAGTTTTTTTAATGCTGTTTTGCTATTATCAGAAATATGCTGCTGCCCATCCTCTGCCTCAGTTTCCCTCTTTCGCCTCTTATGACACCCACGGGAAGACATGGGGTAGTGAGTATTCTTTCCCGCCACTACACGGGGAAGAAAATTTGATTTAGTTAATATACTACATGTCTACAAATAAGAATTGTAACATTTATTTGCTATTAAATTAAACTTTTATCTTATATTTTATGCCCCACTTGTGGTTAAGATTATATCAAATGCAATAAATAATTTGCTGTGAAATATTAATGTTTTATATTTCATTTCATTTGAAGGTTTCACTTCTACAGCGTGTGAACTGCCACATGTTTTTTTTTTATTTTACGCGTTGAATAATGCCTTGGTAACAAAGACAAGAAGTTAGTGAGCATGGCAATAAAAAAGGCAATAGAACACCGTAAACCAATTAAACATAATCAGTGGGCACATTGGTGACGACTGGCTCCTCGTTCATTTAATAATATATTCAGTTTTATTTTGACCATACTCTGTGGATCTCTTAAGAGATTCTGAATCAATTTACAAAATATTTGTCGACTCCAAAAGTTGCTTGCGATGTTTAAACTTGATAATTTTGAACACGAAAATGAAGATACACAATGAAATGTCGTAACTGAAAACGAATAAAACTCTTTGAATATTTTTTGTTATGAAGAAATGGTACAATCTGTAAGCGATGTATGCCACCGGTGAACATGATCCAGAATAACTTCAAATCTGAAGAAAACAACAATTAATTTACTAATTACTCCTTGCCGCTCACTGTACCACTTCCAGAATATGTCAAAGAGGAGCATTACATTGAATTAGCCGATAAATATTTTAACTCCGGTGATTCTTGGAAAGGTAAGAATTATGTGCCACCAATAAACATGCCGCTGAATAGCTCAATATTCGAAGAAGTCTACAATCTCTCCGTAAAAGTCTGTAAAATTTGTTACTTCTTGCCGTCTACAGTACGTCTTCTAGTAGGTATAAGTAGAAGAGCGCCATTATTAAAAACTAGCTGTTCCTCGCGCTTCGCCCGCGTGGAATTTATTACGATTAGATTTCATCGGTTTTAATTTTTTTTGCGCGATATCTTAATTCTTTTTCTAAAAGTAGCCTAAGTTACTTCTTATAAAGCTATCTGCCATTGAAAGTCCCGTTAAAATCGGTCCAGCCGCTTTGGAGATTAGCCGGAACGAATAGACAGACAGACAAAAATTTAATTTTTTTTTTGTTGCAATTACTAGCCTATAAGCTAGCCTGCACGACTTACTAGATACTAGTAACTACTACTTGCAAGATAATGCTATTGGTTTGAGATCACATTCGAGTTTTGCTTTGCTCGATTGTAAATCTGCCATTTTTTCCATGCCATTTCTACGTGGTAGAGCCATGCTGCCACTATATTATGGTTGTAGCACGAATGAGTCGGCTCGACCGGGGAAGGACCACGCTCTCACAGAAAACCAGCGTAAAATAGCAGCTTAACACTGCTGTGTTTCGTATGGTGAGTGTAGAGAACCGGAGACCCTTTTTACTGGCAAAGAGGCATTCCATCTTAGTCCTCACGGGTGACAACGCATCTGCATCTTGAGTCTTTATTGAGGATAGATGTAGATGTCTATGGGTCACAGTAACCACTTACCATCAGGTGGACTGTGTGCTCGTTTGTCACACGATCCTAAAAAAAAATTTTGCATCCTAATAATTTTTATTTTAATAAAATGAGTACTACAAAGACAAAATAATTTGACTTCGGGAAAACAACCATTAAAATTTCAGCGTGTATTTTGGATCAATCTGCGTTTATCCTTTCAAATAAAAAAAATCTAAATCGGTTTAGAAATTGTAGAATTCTGAGGTAAAAAACATTTAAAAAAATACACCGAATTGAAAACCTCCTCCTTTTTTGAAATTGGTTAAAATTAAATATTACACGAAGTGCTTATTGTATTCGAGCAAATTAATTGTGTTTAATAATATTCTTAAATTTTATTACGTCTGTAATTTTTGTACCATTAAAATATGTATAATTAAGTTATATTAGTACCATCATATTCATGTTTATTTTATTTCATTTTATATTCTCATAAAATATATCTTCGTACGTAATACGTAATCTTTATTATATTGATTATTTAAAATTAATCAATAAAATAGTAATTTGCACAATTTGATTGCAAACGCCAGAAACTGGTATCACTGAAAGGAGTGTATATGCGCATGTGACGAGCGTAGGCACATTCGACTCGCGCCCACTAACATAATGACCTTGCATCACTTTCACAGAGTACTTTTGATCACTTTAACGCACGTGTTTTGTACTACACTACGTTTCTACTTGGTAATAATTCTATGGTCAAATCACTAAACAGCAAAGAGATTTAAATATATAGGTATACTATAGAGCGAACATAGAGATCGTTTTCATACAAAAACGTTGAGCACGCGCGTGTGTGACGCCCTCTAGCTAAACATATCAAAACTACGCAGAATATTTTTTTTAAATAAGTCTCGTTGGGTTTCTTGCTGGTTCTTCCAAGCTCAGATTTTTTTCCGAACCAGTAGTAAACCTTAAATGGCTCTCAATAAGTATTCTTGAATCTTTATTGAATAAAAATGATTCAATAAAGTTCATCAAATTCAATAAATGGCTAGACGTCCACCTCACTGTACCACAGACACGCAGACAGATGACACTTGCCCTTAGGAAACGGGATTTCATATTTGCCATGGGATCCAAGGGATGACTAGACCAGTGATGGAATAAGCAGAGAAAATTTTTATGGGCGACTATGATACATTCATTGAATGCATTATAGAAAATCAAGCAATAAAAACGAGATGTGTCGTAATCTCCTAAATGCTGCCTACCCAAGTTGAATCTGTCGATTGACCTCTCGGTCAAAGTTGGACTTACCTAGTGGGACTATTTGTCCTAGGTAAACATACTAGTCAACAACTTCGAGCGTAGTGCTCCCAACAATTACCGGTATAGGTGTGACATAGACTTTACAAGTGACCTTTGTTTTGTCCATGTTTATCTTAAGATCTATCCGTTGGGAGACACTATTGAGATCATTAAGCATATTGATTAGATCCTCCAGCGATTTTGCCACAAGGACTATATCGTCGGCAAATCGAAGGCGAGTAATGTACTTGCCATTGACGTTAATACTGTATCCTTTCCAGTCCAGTAGCTTGAAAATGTCTTCCGATGCAGCAGTGAAGAGTTTCGGGGATATAGTCACCCTTTCTTACACCTCTCTGCATTTGGATGTGTTTCGTACTCTGGTTCTGTACTCAAATAGCCCTCGTAGCCTTGCTGTACAAACATTTCAGCACTTTGATATTTTTCCACAAGACCAGGGACCATTTTTCATCACTGATGCCTACATTTTGTTCACTTTTTCCATTCATCAATGCATTGAGACCATGGAATTTAAATAAAAGAAAGACCATACTTAAATTAAGATTTATTCTTGACTTGCGTCAACATTTTCTGTTTGCAAACCCTTGATTGAAGCAACAGGCACGTAAGTTACAAGTGTAAATAATTTGTGGGCTGAGTCTTCATCATCATTACGCCTACGTGAAAGTCTTACGCGGACACGGAATGGAACATTTCTGTAAAAAGAGAAATATTAAATTAAGTTTATGACTTTTGAACTTTAAATGTATACTTATCAAAAAAATCAAGTGTAATGAAAAGTAGAGAAGCATCTGAGATCTTTGCCTTTGTTTGATAACATGCGGTTGTATTACAGTGGTTGACACTTTTTGGCATCATCACCTTCAAAAATTATGATTGGTACCCAGCAGAAGTAGGGTTAATTTGTAGATTACTATTTAATAATTAAAATTTATAATTGCTTATTTTGAAGGAATAAGTCTATGATGTTGATCTCTTTGCCTTCTTTAATCATAATAACTTCTGACTATGCTGGAATAATAAATAGTACTGCCTACTAAAACAGAGGCATTTAAACGCCCTAACCTGCTGTACTAGATGACAATTATATTATGGGTTGGATTTAGACTTGTTTGGCAATAATTTGTAGGAGTAAGGTATTCCATTTCCTAGAGGTTTGATCCCCTATTATAACAATACCACTGGCATTAAAAGGTAATGCAGTTTTGGAGAAAATAAAAAAGAAAATATTATAACCTAGTAATGGGAAAACAAATGCAAATACTTTGAAAGCTGGATAGCATACATGATTTTGTATAAATGCAAGATAAAACCATGGATGTGAAACAATGTCAAAGACTAGTGTCACAGTATTATACCTCTATGGTATTTTTATTCTTCGGTGGTCTATGCTCTCATATAAAATTATGATTACAAACAATAAAAAAAAATATTATTACATACTTTACACCCAGAAATTCTTTTAGTTGAGGTAGGTTAGAAGGCAGTTCCCCCACAGCCTTCCTGGTTATTTTTTACTGCTCAGAAATACATGAGCACCCAGAAATCCTTACAGTTGTGATAGGGGACACCCCTGCTCTCCCCTCCCATCCCCTCATGCCGGAGAGATAAATGTTATCATTTTGAGGTTAGGTCTATGGGATTTTCTTTTTTTCTCAAGAACAATGTATTACCTTTGTATGCGAGTGGTATCGAGGTGTAAGAGACCCTCCCCTGACCCCACTTCCCTCCTGCCAAACAATTCTAAATGTTTCCCTAAATTAGTAAAAGTAATAAAAACAAATCCAGGATGAACTACATTGATATATCAGAAATCAAAAATCTGATAGTACTAATATTATTTAGAGAAATATTGATTAAAGGCATAAGACATAACAATAAAATTGATATTATGATATAAAAATAAGCTAGGCATATCAAAAATACTTTAAATTTGCTGAAAAACTACTTTTGTTTTATTAAATAATTAAACATAATAATTCCTACAACATATTGATTTATTCGCTGCTGGACACAGTCTACCTAAAAGCTAACTTTATATTATCAATTAGACAAAAACATTCGATATCACTTGTTGTATCAATTAGACAAAACATTCAACAGGTTTTGTCTAAAGAATAAAGAGTGAATTAGATAATATAACTTCAGACTTCACATTAATACAGCACTTGTATATTCCAAACTTTAAATTTTTTTTATGTAAGTGAAACATAATTAAAAAAATAATAATATCTCAATACTATGCATTTAGTTTTAATAGATTCCAAAAACATTCTTCACTTGAATTATTGGTCATACAGCACAATTTTTCATCAATTGATGTTATTCAATTTCTAGTTTGACATTAATAGTGGCCAATTTAGTATATGGAATTAAAAAACGGAGTACGAATATGCAACCATTGATGAATCAATAATAAAAATTCTAACTATTCTAATTAGTTGATGAAATATGTTATTAAAAATAGTATTAATAAATTACTTAAAAAATTAAATAAACAATCATTGACCATGAGCTACGATTACTAGTTTATTCAATAATTCAATTCATTGTCATGAAATTATCTATTGTCATCGGTTCTTAATACCTCTGCAAAATTACAGATTATTCATAAGTCCGGCTGCAGCTGAATACTAAATTATAATAATCAATTACATTCATACACATTACACACATGCGAAGATATATACAGGTCAAGCTAATATAAGGCATGTTAAAGGCTTACCTTACACCCTTAGACCATAGGAACTTGTTCAAACGAGTGTCCACACGGACGTCAGGGGTTCCCATTTGTTTTTCGGCAAACTTCCGAATTTCCTTAATAGCTCGTGGAGCCCGTTTTTTAAATCCAACTCCATGGAGACGTTTATGTAAATTCACCGTATATTCACGGGTAACAACTTCATTTATCGCAGATTTACCCTTTCTCTCGCCCTTTGGCTTAGCCATTATTTTCTGAAATAAATAAGAGAAAAAAGTAAAAATAACCCTCTTTATACCAACAACACGTAACACTATTCAATAACTTTTGAACAATAATCGTAATAAAATTCGAGTTTATGTGATTTTTTAAGATTAAAACTTATAAACACACCTCATCGAACACTTGCCGAAATAAAAAGAAATGTCAAAATTATCTTTCAAAAACTTGTCATCTATACTCTGTGACCAAAGAGTATATAACACAGAATACTTTACTCCTAGCGCAGAGTATATAACCACTAGGTTTTTTTATATTAATATTTTTAGCTTGGATGCTTGTCTATAATTTAAGTCTTATTTCATTAAAGTATCTATAAGCAAGCTGTAGAGCGCGCGTAGCGCTCAATGCCTATTATGCAAAGTGTAAGCGAGTGTTCTATAGATACTGATACATAGATGAAGCGGTTAATTAGCGATGCGCCTTGATTGACCCTCATGTGTTAATTTAATTAAGTTTATAATTTTAATTAGTTAAAGTAATAGGTGGGTATTTAGTAAATATTGGGGAGGTAAATAAATATACGGTATGTTTTCGCAAGTCAATAAAAAACAGTAATGAATTAATAAAACGATGATTATTAAGTAATCACAAAAATCTAATTAAGTTACTGCCTCTTTAAAAGGTTCAACTTATTATATAGCTGTCTTTTTTTGTCAGCTTTATCGGAGTTTTGCGATCAAGATATTTTATCGTAATTTAATTATTTTATATATATTTTTGAGTGACAGCACGCAATGAATGAACCAAATGGTTGCTGCATAGCAATTGATGGAATAGGTGTTTATGAGGACACGTAAAATATCTTTTCCTGTGAACAACTTCAAGGTCTCAGTAACTAAACTAAGAGTCATAATATTGCCATTCTGCTTAAAAGATATTTTTTTAATTATTGTTTCTGCTTTTATACAAATGTCTATTACGTCATTTGATTGATATAAAAGACCAATTCTTACTATCATTATAATAAATTTATGAAAATAGTTTCTTTCTTCTTATACGAGTACACCTTGATATTACTCACAAGCAAGTGTCTGTAGCGAAATGTGACTACATAGATACTCAGATACGCCAAATAATTTCCACAATGAACTATAAACTGGGAATCTGTCATATCATAGCAAGGAACATACAGAACTCTTAATGTTGGGCTCCCAATTGGGTCTTTTTATTGCTATCACCCACTTATTTCTTAATTCACGGCTTTACTGAAAACTGAAATTAGATAAGTATTTAACCGCATTAAACTTTGTTATGTTCCTTGTTATTTAACAAAGCTATTAAATGTTTTATTTTATTATCCATATAGGTTAGGATTAAGAAGAATCTTTACTTCTAATACTAATATTGTATTATAATTATTACGAAAGAAATTATTTTAGTAAAAAATATTCGTGGCACAACGCTACTTCTAATTCGGAGAAAACCCGAAGTGCGGGCGCAGGGTACGTGTTGTATCTCCCCTGCCGCACGGCTCCCGCAACAATATTTGACGCCGCAAGTAATTTTGTTAAAATAAAATATGACACACCGATGAAAAGAAATATCATAGTTCTTCTTGTTTTGCTTTCGTGAATCGTTTTCGCAGCTTGGCAATGCACATTTTACCATGATTACTAAAAATTGTATTAAATATCGTCGAGATAAATAATTAACGCGCGTGACCTTTCGTAACTAATAATGTGGTCCCGGCCATTTTGAGACTGTTCTAACGTGTATTTCAAGTTCTGAATTGCTCACATACGCTCTATAGCTTGCTTATAAATACTCTAAGCTTAATAACGTATCCCAGTACCAAGTGATAATAATCATATATAGCACACTCCTTCACAATACATTGATGTGTCACATTGCGCAGCCCTTGGGAAATTTTGACGGCAAATTGAGCCAGCAGACAGTTTGCGATAGTATCTCAAGACTCCTAAGCAGACAGACACCTTATCTGGAGATTCACATCACCATCGGAGCACTTGTTTCACCGTTTCCACTAATTGTTCACATGCGCACACATTTAATACACAGAATCACACCGCTTTTACATATCAAAATCCACTTTAAACTATTATTTAAACAATAATACAGGAGCAACAACATGTCGCCGGTCCAGTTCCCACCATAATTTCAGGCTTAAATTATAGATCAATTATAGGCGTATTTATTAGTATATTGATTGTATATACAAAAACCAACTATATACATATACTAATTTATATTTATATACAGTACACACCCATGTCTAACACTAAACTAGATCGCGCGCGAAGAATAGCGATCGTTATCGTTATCGTTACATGTAACACGTCCGCTCACCACAGCGCCGCTGCTAGAGCTAGTTGGCGCGCTTGCTACGCAAAATTCACAGCGCCATAGCAGCTGCTTAGATAGTACGCGCTGTGCGTTATGAAAATATAGCACTGTGTGCTATATTAACCACCTCTGATATAAATCAATGCCTTTAAGATATTAGATGTTATAAAAAAATAATTAATTTCTTAATTTTATAAATCGCATATAATATATTATATAATTTTTGTGATCGCAAGTAACTATACAAAACACGTGCCAAGGATTCAAATACTTTGAAGCTTTGAACCAATAAAAGTTAAAATTAAATCTTTCCTAAATGACCGAAAATGTTGTATAATAATCTTCCACTCACCAGATGTCACTAGTTGTGACTGAGGTAAAGTTTTTTTATATCACTGTCAGTTGATTAAGAAACTAGTTTTAAATAGTAGTATATCAGTTTCTAGAGTATTATGTCAATACACAAAACAATGCCTCAAAGGTTTTATCTTTAATTTTTTGCCCTTTATTACTCTTTTTTTTTTTAATTTTTATACTTTTAGTTATATCCATAGTTTGGTTTATTCATTTCTAATATAATTAATATGAAATATAACACATAACAACGAATATAACGAAAAACAGAAAGAAATATTAACCTTTACATTTTACTAAGAAATTATATTCCCCACTATGAAATCTGTAAAATATTTCACCTCATTGCAAAGTGACGCCGCGCCGCGCTCGAGGCAAAAATGTCGTGGATAACCTCATTAGAAACAGGGGCGGGGTGATACCTTGGTGGAGGCCTATGTTCAGCAGTGGACTTGTGAAAGGCTGTAATGATGATGATGATGAATAACACATAGACTTAGAACATATAGACAGCCATAGTGTGCAAGGGTGAAAAAAATCTTTATGGCAATATAGCAAGATAGAAAAGGATAGCAAATCTCATAATCCTGTAACTGATTTTGAATGACAGATTGGCACTAGTCGGCACGCAAAGAATGAGCTCCTAGGTAAATGACTGTGGTGTAAAAAAGAATTTGCATTTCATAGAATATTATCAGGTGATATTGCAAAATATTTCAAAACTATAGATATTACAAAAACAGCAGATCTATGGGGGATTTCTTTTAAAGTTATTGCGTCTATAATAGATGCGATCGCGCCCCAACTTGCTATTATTTTCAATGCTAGTATCGAATCTGGTGTGTTTCCTGATTTAATGAAACATAGTAAAGTTATACCTTTATTTAACGTTAGTTAAAAAGTGCTACGGGCCTCAGACTTCCCCATCTATTGTCAAAGTAATATATATATTACTTTGACAATATATATTAGTATTGTAAAGAAATAATAAAAATAATATTAAAAGTAATAATATGGTACTAATTCTATCCTAAGGCCAAGTTGCGCTCGCGCGCGCGTTTTTGTGTGTGTGTGTGTGTGTGTGTGTGTGTGTGTGTGAGTGTGTGTGTTATTAAGTGATCTTTGTGAACAAATCTTCAGTCGCATCGTAATTCAAGTCGTTAAGAGTTAGATATACGAGACTAGTTATACGACCCCAAAGGGTCAGTAATTCCTTCGTGGGGCAATATATATGCTTTTACAACCAAGTCCCAGAAAATATGCAGACCTTTTCTATCAAAAGGTATAAATTATTTATTAAGCAAAAATGGTGTAGTAAGGGTTATTATACGTACTAAAGAGTACATGACTGATTATAACCTCTGGGAATGAGGAGATCAGTACCATGATGTTTCTAAATGTTTTCATAATAATTGAATAAAATATTATATTGTAAATTGTGCTTTTTTTTTAATAAAATGGCCCGCTGTGTTTCTTGCTGGTTCTTCCCAGGACAGAGGTTTCTTTTGCGAACCAGTGGTAAAAGTAAAAAATTACTTTCAATAAGTATTATGTACTATAATCTATATAGAATAAAAATTATTCTATTCTATTCTATTCTAAACCCGATAACTGCATATTTCACAGGTAAATCTCAAGATGTCGTCATTGCTATGAGGTGTCTTTCTTGGTTAAAATTTTTGTTATTTAATTTTTTGATTTATTTTGTTTTATTTCTATATTTTGTAAAGAAAAAAGTCACGCTATTGTTAATTTGCATGATTTTGGTGAATAGATTTTTAATTCATATATTTTATATGTACGATATTTATCTTGAATGTTTGTAATTAATTGATAGACTCGCAGCGTACACAACAAGATGAATGAAAATAAATGCTCGATTTACGTTGTAAAAACGTAATTTAATTTTGATTTTTACTTTTTATACTAAAGTCAATAATATAAAAATAGAAATTTGTAGGAACTAGTAAAATAAGATTGTTCTGTTAAATAAGATTAGAAAATAAGATAAAACAGTTAAATAAGATTCTAAATGTCTATGGCTACTATAACTAATAAAAAGTATAGCGCTCCTACATATTTTGTGCTTAAAGTACTGTGGTCTACGCATGTATATTATTAGTGGAAACTACAAGTACTTTGATAGTGAAACAACGCTCAGGCTATCATTAATATCTCATATTAATGATCCAGTATTAGCATTTAAAGCACAGCATATTGATACGAATTTTGTAAAATACACTTCAAACAAAGCAGTATGAGTATAGACTCTTTTGCCTTTAAAAAAACAACTAACGGCCGGGTTTATGTGACAATCAGATGACAGCAAACGTCACATTTAAGTTAAACCCACTCAGTGTTGCCAACTGCACCGTAATTACGGTAAAAACACCGTAATCAGCATAGATCTACCACCTACCGTAGGATTATAATTACGGTAGCAAAATACACCGTAATACCCAATGAAGATCGTATCTAAATATGATTATCTATAAACTAAAATAATTTTAGCGAGTTTGATTGTTTACTTTCTTTACGTTACAGTATTTTCCTTTTATTCTACCGACAACACTGTTTTATGCGTCGGGAAATCCCCCAATAGCGTGGTACCAGCTTGGAGATATTATGCGAACGAATTCGGGGGTGCTGTATGTATTTGAATTTCAATGAATACTTAGAGCTTTTTAATTTTCCTAGTTTATTTGTATCATAAACGAGATACGACTAACATTTCATTAATACTTAAAATTACGTAAGAGTTTGTTGTGTTGTGTTGTGTTGTGTGTGATCTGAGTGTTTAAAAATATGGAGAGTGATGGCGACAGCGCTACTGATCGAGAAGATAGCTTAACACGAGTACCGGCTAAGAGAAAGCGTTATAAGCAGAAGTTTCGGGAAGAATGGTTGCTGAATAAAGAATATAGTGACTGGCTAAGAAAGGATAGTAGGGACTTATCGAAGGCGGTCTGCAATGTTTGCAATACATCTTTCAGTGCCGAAATAAGTGTAATAAAACGCCACAAAGAAGGAACTAAACACGTGAATAATTTAAAGAGGTGTAGTGCTTCAACGTCCAAAAAACAACAGTCTATAGTAAGCGTTTTTAAATCCATGCCAACTAATGAAAAGCAATTGGTAAAGACTTCAGAAATAAAATTAGCTGCTTTTGTTGCTGAGCATAAGGTATCTCATAATGTCATGAATCACTTAGCAGATTTGTTACCAAAGTTGTTCCCAGATTCTCAGATAGCCAAAGATATTAGATTAAAAAGAACTAAAGTTCAAGCTGTGATAAATAACTGTATTGGGGAAACTGAAAAAGAAAACTTGATCAGTGACTTGAAATCACAAATGTTTTCAATTTTGATAGACGAAAGCACAGATATTGCTGTAGTAAAAACAGTAGCTGTAGTGGTCAGGTATTTTGATCCAATGATTGGTAAAGTTATCACTCGGTTTTGGAATTTGATTCAATTATTTGATGAGAAAACCACCGATCATGTTGCAAATGCCGAAAAACTAATTAATATATTTAATACTGTTATAGGTTCATTTCAAAAGTATGAGATTCCTACGGAAAACATCATAGGTTTCGGCTCTGATGGATGCAACACAATGATGGGATGTAACAATTCAGTTTCAAGTTGATTTCGTCAACGTTGTCCAGGCATAATTGTGATCAAATGCATTTGCCATTCTCTGCATCTTTGCGCTAGTGACGCATGTAAAGAGCTTCCACTAAATTGTGAAAAAATGGCGCGAAATATTTATAATTATTTTAAATCCAGTAGTAAAAGGCAGAGTGAGTTGAAAGAGTTCCAGTATTTTGCTGAGGCGGATGTGCACAAAATTCTAAGACCAGCCCAGACTAGATGGTTGTCTTTAAATGCAGTAGTGCAAAGGATTCTGGAACAATGGGATGTATTACGTCTTTATTTCAATAGCAAATGGCTGGAAGAATCGGAGTGCCACGATATTCATGCATGCCTGAATGATCCCATAATCAAGGCTTATTACTATTTTTTGGCTTGGATGTTGCCAAAATTTACAACATTAAATAGCTGTTTTCAGAGCGAATCTATTTTAATTACGAAACTACATGGGAAAATGACAGCTTTTTATAAAGAACTGTTACTATTGGTTTTACACAGAAATTATGTAAATTCCGCTCCTATTGAAACTATAGATCCAATGACAGAAATAAATCACAAGGACCTAAAAGACATATATCTAGGTTTAGGTGTCCAGAAAGAACTAGATTCTGTTGAAAATGAAGAAAGAAAGTTAACTCTCAGAAAGATGTGTAAAAATTTTATTATTAGAGCTTGTGTGGGCCTTCGTAAACGATACTGTTTTAATGACAAAATTATGACAGAAATAGCAAAATTTGATCTAGAGAAAGTAATTTCTGATGACAGGGAAGAGTCAGTTTCGTCGTTATTTCCATTACTGCCCAGAATTGCCCCAACTTCAATCCAACATCAACAAGAACTAGATGATGAGTGGCGGAAGTTGCCGTTATACTACAAAGATTTGGATTTAAGTCAACCCCCTGACGTATTTTGGCACCAGGTAAGTTTCCATGTAAACTCGAAGCAACGTGAATTCATATTGGTTTCTATTGTTATAGCAGCCTAATCATTTTTTTTTCAGGTCGCAGAACTGCGTGACCAACATCGAGAAGGGAATACCTATTTCCAACACTTGCCAAAATTTATGTTGGCCATTTTGTCTCTGCCACACTCGAATGCTGAGTGCGAAAGAGTCTTCAGCAGAGTTAACGATATAAAAACAAAAAAACGGAATAAACTCCTAACGAAATCCATCAAGGGAAATCTCTTATCGCAGCAAGCCATACAGCGTCACGGAAAAAACTGTGTTGATTTTAATCCCACTCACGCTATGATCGCAAAACATAACAATGATATGTATAAAAATATTGAAACAATTATACTGTCCGATTCTGATTAAAAATATGTTTTTTTTTTAACTCTGACCCATAACATGCTACTAAATAAACAAGGTAATTCTACCGTATTTCAAATATATATTACAACATAATTTCGAAAATTCTACCGTATTTTTAGAAGAATTCTACCGTCCGCTAGATTTCAGACTTGGCAACACTGAACCCACTAATTATAATTACACTATACTTATTTTTGTAATGTAATTTGTATCGGAATGCTATTTCTTTTATACATTTCATAAACTAATGTTAAAACTCTGTATGTAGAAACAGTTTTTTCTTAAATGTATATTACAAAAATGTGTATTATCAATCAATAGAAAACTTATAAATATTTACGGTAGTTCTTTTCTTATTTTCTTAGGTTTATAATCTAAGAGAATGCTGCCTTCAGCGGCTTCAAATTTTTTTAGAAAAATGGGTAGACGATCTGTTCATATAAAAAAATTGAGTTATTTGTGTTTTGGATATACTGGAAATATACAACAAAATAGTTCACTATTTCATCTTGGGAAAAATGTTTTTAAACGAAATTTCAATACCTCCACATATTTTTTTGATAAAAATGAGACTGCAAATGGTAAAAATAACGAAAAGCATACAGAAACAAATAAAGACAAATTATGTAAACCAAAAAGTATGAGTGGAATTGAAATTAAGACTGAAACTAATGAAAATAATGTGGTTACAAAAGTTACCATAGAGAAGCCACAAACAGTTACCTCTTCTTCAAAACAGGCAGTCGCTTCTCAAGGTATTGGACATTGGATCAGTATTTATAATTTGAATTTGTACCCTTAAAATAACAACACAAACTATATTTGTCATGTTTTAGTCAAGAAGAGACTATTAATAGATTTTTCGGCATCGTATACTGAACGTAATTTTATAACTCCGATGCGTGCAATGACTGAATATTTACTTAAACAGTCTGATTTGGAATCATTGCCAAAAGTATTTCGAAGATCGCCATATGAGTCAGAACCGCCAATAACTGTATATTACCGTAAAGATGTTGAAGCAAAAGCTGTTGAGGTTTGTAAATAGGTTTTTTTTTATTATTATATTATGTTAGTAAAAAAATCTCTACTGCCTGGTTTTATATTTAAATTGAATTGAAGTATTAAATTGAAACCATGTTGAAGGTGTGGGGATCAAGAGAAGCATTAGAAAAGGAATTATTAAGAAGAGAATTGGATAGGAGAAGATATGAACAAGGTAAAATTTCAAATTATACCTTTTGAGTCATAAAACTAGGTGATACATATTAAAAGTAGTAATTTTTTAAGTGTACAAAAAGTAGAAAAAGTAGAAAGTTTACTAGTATTTAGATATATACATTGGGGTGAAGTGAAAATTTATGGAGATTTATGTTTTTGTTAAATGAGTGTAAAATAGCATAGTGGTAAAATGCTGCCTATGTATGACAGAATGAAGTATGTAATGTGCCAAATTCGGTACAAACAACGTTTGCGGATGTTAAAAGAGTTGATATTTCAACGGGTGCCAAATTACATAATAGTTTTACTAGTCAATAAATTAAGTTGATGATATTTAATACAAGCTCAAAATTGTACGCCATAAAACACGGTCTGGCTAAAAAGCACAACCTGCATCAATCGACTTTCTGCATATCTTACCAAGTCGTCACTCCATCTAGTGGGGGGACAGTCTCATACTTTATTTATGAGTATGAGACGGCCACTCGAGAACCTTTCACCATCAGTTGTCCGTTCTTTGAGCTTTGTTAAAAAATTATATTTTTTTGTATAATATCTATCAAATTAATTGCAGATGTTTTCACTGTAAAACGCAGACTAAGAAACTACAGAAGAGAAATGAGTCATAAACGTTTGAAACATGGTGTAGAAGAATTAGGGTTAAAAACGAGATCAGGAAGAGTAGTACTTACAGCAATTGGAATGTTAGTATAGTAACTAAAGATGACATAATAAAATAAAAAGAAAACTCAGGTAATAAAACGATAATCTTTTCTTTATTTCAGAAATGGATGTAATTTTCTATTCAAACTCTGCGCCTGGTTTTATACAGGATCACACAGTTTATTCTCTGAATGTATTCACTCCCTAGCTGATACAGTAAATCAAGTTATTCTTGCTTATGGAATACACAAATCTGTTCAAGTTAGTATATTTAAATGTATTAGTATATTGGTGATAGACTCAAGGGATATTATGAGATGTTAGTGGAATATACCAAGTTCTTTAAATGTCAACCACACATAAAGGCCTAGTTACCTACAAAGAAATAAGTTTTAAGCGTGCGACAAAAACAATGGTGGTACATCATCAAGCTAAATCCCGCACACTAGTGACCGCGTTATCAAGTCCACGAGTCGTCCGGTAATAAATCATTGTAATCAGGGATGTTATGGATATGACATTTTGGATCTGGATACGAATATGGGATTAATATTATATCGGTTTCGGTTAGGGATATAAAATTATTTCGGATTATTTGTTTCGGATCAGATTACATTTTTGAGGAAAAGTAAAATACCAATAAGTAAGTAATAATTTGACTTTATTTCTAGGCTATCATTTGGTATTACAATCAGTTGTTTACTTAAGTAATTATTATATTATTACACAATTATTATAATCAAAACAATGCTATTAGTTTTTTTCTATTATATTCTTCAATATCCTTCTATGAGCTATTATAACTCATTAATCAGTCTTCTAAGTCTTGACATATCTATACAAATAAATAAAATTAAGGTGTCTATTTATAATGTCAAAATAACAGCTTTTTACTTAAAGCACATAAAAGTATATACGGTACTTATAACAAAAACACTATTATTAAAATTTTTATCTGTTTGATCCCGCTAATCTTCGTAATGACTCCGCCGATTTTGTTGTAACTTTCATTGGCCGATAGCTGATATTATAAGGAGTAACTTAGGCTACTTTAATTTTAGAAAAAGAGTTAGGGTTCCACACAAAACAGTTAAAACCTTAAATTACACGCAGGCGAAATCGCGGGGAACAGCTAGTTGAAGAATTAAAACTAAAATCTGAGCATAATATAAAGTTTCATTTAGACTCTGTCCCTATCCGAAATTATCTGAAACTTTTATATCGTATTCAGTACGGTTACGGATAGTTTTTTAGATATCCGATAGTTTCGGTTAAGGTTATGAAGCTCCATAACATCCCCGATTGTAATTAATCTATCTCGCTCGCACTAATAGGGAATATGGAGCGCCATAATGATGTGCGTAACAGTAGGTAGTCTATATCGATAAGATTTAATGAATGGATTTTTTAAGGTTTGAAATTATGAAATTATAAGATAACACAATAAAATAAATAAAATATTGATTTATTTATTTCTACCTCTCTTTACAGATGTACCTAATACGACAGTATAGGCACATAAAACTATCTAATTTAATAAGGACAGAACACAACTTTTCTACTATTATAACATAACACATATAATGTCACTTTTGTGAATTCACCCAAGGAACAGCAGAATAAATCTACATCCTGAGCTACTTTATTTAGAGTGTGCAGCACTTGCGTCAGTGAGGCCTCTTTTAGAAGTTTGGTGCGTGCGTGCGGTACCGCGAACAGTGGGGGCCGCTTCCGGCGCCACACGTACCTATATAATCTACATTTATAAATATTTTATTATATTATAACTTATCTCCTTCATCCGAGTCATCTGTGTCACTATCGTCTTCCTGTATATTTATAAATAAAGGCTCAAAAATATAAATGAAAAAATGTAAGAAAATAATGAAAATAAATAAACAAAAGAGTGACTTTCAATATTATTTATAATCTATACTATATTGAATAAAAAAGTTTCTGTTTCTGTACAGAGGTCCTTACCTTGTAACCTTACTAAATATAAACAAGTAACGATAAATTCAATGAGAGTAGCTTTGTCCGCCGCGATAAGGCGGACAGATAGTTAGGTCAGGTAGCGAGTGGCGCACAGCGGTGGCATATTCCTATTGTTATCGACACTTATGTCCCGACGACTCAGTTGATAACACGGGCACTATAGTGACGAGCAGCAGCTTTATCGAAGATCACGCCACTGCTCTCCTCAATCCGCCTGCCGAAGTTGTTGAATATAGGCAAATTTTTTCAGATACTTATATATAAGTTTGGGGTATTCTCGAAAAGGTATATTCAGTTGTTTGAAAAGACCGATATGGTAAGGGTAACGTTTTAAATAAGGATGAATGTAATAATGATTGGCCTTGCTTGATGCAGTTACTCTACTTAAATGGAACTTCATCTTGCCATTTTCGTTCCTTCCAATGAAGTTCTGGGGACGGGAATCAGTGAATTTTCGAAAGAGGTTTTTTTACCGTTCAGTTTGTTACAGTTCAAACTTATCTCCTGTAAATGCTACCAAACTCCGTAAAATAAAATCAGGCGCGAGGTATGCCGAATACGGTGAATACGGTGAGTTTGTCAGACGTGTTTTGTCGTGACGTGTCTTTGAATCAATACAGTCGTAGCTCTCGTAGAGTTCATACGCTCCCAATGTTTTCCCAGAGTCATCCGACTCTGCTTCAGATTATGAAGAAGATATTGAATTTTTGGTGCTGACAACTCTCCTAGAAAAAGAAAGAAAGAGAAGAAGATATTTGGTTATCCAGGGAATAATAAAAGATAATCTAAAGGCGAGTTTCAGTATCTCGTTAGAGCTTAAGAATGATGCGCAAAGATTTCATCAGTATTTTAGATTGTCAAAGGCACAGACAAGTTTCGATTGCGATGCGATTCCGAAGCGTCACAACACAACACTGGCGCGTTTGCACTTGTCTGGCGGCCACGCACCCGTTCCCTTCTCCGCTCTGATGCGATCGGAATCTCTTCTGATACGTCGCATCAGAAGCCATCACAACACATCACGACACGCAAATATAAGTCTCACCATACTAATTGTATGAAACCGATATCGTTCTGATGTATCACAACACAACACGTCAGACAAATGTAAATCCGGCTTTACGTCCTATTTTCAATCGAATCTCCTCTAACTTTGAGACAGTCCGTTTTGAGTCACATTTTGATTTGCTTGTGCACTGAGTGCAAGTAGTCCTTTTTTAAAGATGTTATATCTACGCTAGGATTGAATACAAACCCGGAACTATTATTTGTGGGACATACAAATACTTGTTCCGTGTAGGATTCGAACCGGCGGTCCTCAGCACTGCAACTCAATGCTAAGACACACACACACACACACACATACACACAGACACGCGCACACACACGCGCACACGCACACACACGCACGCACGCACACGCACGCACGCACACGCACGCACGCACTCATTTGACGAAAGATTTTCCCGCGCCTCCATGCAAGCGAGTTAGTGAGCGTAGTGCTAATACCATCTCACTTGTAATAGTGCTTCCCAATAACAGTTTTCGGTGTTTGAGTTCGGCATATTTATGTATACCAGTTATTTGAAGGTAGAATCTAGGTCTTGAAGATATAGGTTAAGTCGGTGAAGAAGTTGGAATTTTTCCCTTACAATTCATTGCTGTTTTTAAGCACAATCGATGTTTTTTTTAGTTTAAACGCTATAAAGTGTGATCAATTTCTGTTACTTGTTAACAGGTTGTAAATTTTAGATTGCAGATCCAGACCATCCATATGGCTATACAAATATGAGGTATGTGTCGTCCCTGATATCAGGAGTAGGCATATTCTGTGTTGGAAGCGGATTATCCTTTTATCACGGTGTAGTGGGCATATTGGATCCTCAGCCACTTCATGATTTATTTTGGGTAATTACTTATTTAAAATTAGTTATGACTCTATTTATGTATATGAATTAGTTTAAGGCAATGATTGACTGATTGAACAGACTTCTTTTTATGTTTTTTGAAGATTTTGTTCGAAAAGTATATTATTTTTATAATAAACTAGCGATCCGCCCCGGTTTCGCACGGGCGATTTCTGGATCTCGACAACACAACAGCTTGATCTACTTAGTCCAATTGTATATAACCATCCAGGAACCCAAATTTCATCAAAATCGGTCCAGTCACTTTCGAGTTTTTGGAAGAATAACGGACAGCAATTGATTTTTATATTTAGTGATTTTAATTTTTGTTGTATCTTTATAATATAATTTAATATTTAATATTTATTTTTGATAGTAAATTATTTAATGAATTCAAAAAATATTTACTAATAATATTCAATACATTTAATTTGCAGGCTTATTTTGTTCTTGGTGGAGCAGTTGTGTCAGAAGGTGCTACTTTATTGGTGGCTTTAAGTGCAATTAGAAAGGGTGCAAAAGAAGCTAATATGCCCCTAACGGAATACGGTACATTTTTTTCTAATGTTTATAAAATTTTATTTTAGTTACTTATTAAAATTTTATCTATTCTGTACTTTCGGCCTTTGGCCTTTACTTTTGTACTTTGGCCTCTCTCGTGATGACGGCTTAAGAGCATCTATCCCTTCATGTAGTCCCATGTTATTGTAAGAATCAATTGGATTTGATTAATACAAGTAAGGGTAACAAGCGAGCACTCAATCCACCTTATGGTAATTTATGTCGCGGTCCGCAGACCCAACCAAACTTGATTAAATATATATGATACTGGATCGCTAGTATAGCCCCGCCCCAGCTACGAATGTGTGATTTCTTATTTTCGACAACAGCGTCACCTACCGTGTCCGAATTTTAATTTAAACCATCTAAAGTTTCCTTACCCATTCAAACATACAAAATTAAATTCATTAATGTAATTACTCTATACTTAATGTTTGTATTTAATAACTTATTTTATCTCCCTTTCTCAAATTTGCAATGCCTGAAAAAGGCTACTAAGTTGAGACAAATTGTTATTATTATAAGACCATTTATGTACACTTGGTTAGCAAATATTGAATGATTGAAAAAAAAATCATCAAATTCGGTCGAGCCGATTTTGTATTTTAGCGTTTCTCCAAAGTGAAACCCATCAGTAGCCTACTGATGCGTTTCACTTTGGAGGAGGTGCACTCTTTGAAGTTGGCTGTAAGTGTTCACGAACGACAATTGATTTTCTACCGACTTCAAAAAGGAGCCGGTACTCAATTCGACTGTATGTTTTTTTTATGTGTTAATATTGTAATTTTTATGTTACCTCAAAACTTTTTACTGGGTGAACCGATTTCGATGATTTTTTTTTATTTGAAAGCTGGTGCTTCACATGTAGTCCCATATAAATTTGATCGAGGTCTGACCAATAGTTTTTGAGTTATTCTTAATAATTTAGATTATAGTCGGTTGTACAAAATTTTTAAATTTTAATTTATTATATATAGAGAAGATAATGATTAAATGTATACGGTTGAGGATTAATATAGAATGCCTCATTTCCAATTACTAGTTTATCCAATTTTCGTCACACACCATTCGAGCCTAGCGGCATTATGCTGCTATTTTACGCTGGTATTCACTTAGAAGGTGGTCCTTCAATGGTAGAACAGACTCATTTCAAATACAAAAATGTCAGGAAGTTCTTCATGTCTACGATAAATGGCGGTATAGGCATAACCATCTTGTGTCGGCGATAAAAACCTTTATCGGTGAAGAGAAACAGCGTAAAAGGAGGAAAATGTACCAGATACAGCGATTCAAAATTAGCATGCAATAAAAAATGTGGCAGATACATCCTTCCTCTTTTATAAAAGTAAGTGTGACAAACAAGCACACGGTACACCAAGTGGGAAGTGGATGCTGTGCCCCTGACACTGACCTTGGACTGCCTTGTTGGTCTAGTGGTTGTAAGTGCAACTGCTGATCATGTGTTCTCGGGTTCGAATCCCGAAGAAAGAGAACGGTACTCCTCAGTGCCTCGGAAAGCGCGTAAAGCCGTTGGTCCTACACTTCATCTCCTTCCAGTCGTGTCGGAATGTCGTACCATCGGACTATGTGAGCGAGGAAACAGAGAGTGCACCTGTATTTGTGCGTACACTTACTCTTGCACTATAATTCTGGCCTGCCCAGATAGATGGCTAGTCTTCACCGAGATCGCCGTGAACTGTGGTCCATAAACAAATCTATTCCTCCACCCCTTTCCCTAAGATAGAATTTTACGACGTTATCAGTAAAACAGGCCTCCGATTCTTATCACTCACCATACGAAACATTATGCTGTTATTTCACACTGGTATTCTATACGAGTGTGGTCCTTCTTTAGGCGAGCCATTCGTGCTGCAGATATAATACCACAGTTTAAAGAGTTAACAGTTGTGAAACGCCTTTGATGTCAGACGACAGCACCGCCCGCGTAGGTATTTGCTATTTACGCCGTCGTCGCAATTATGAATGCCACGTTATGCCTTTTTGGCGATACTATACCAATACCGATGCTCTTATAAAAATATCGGCAATACCGATACCGATACGCTATTGAATTCAAAAATGAAGGTACAATAAATAAAACACAAGTTAGGTTATTTTTTTTTAAATTAATTTAAGAAGAAAAAATAACAGGACAAACTAAATAAAACCTTTTAAAACTATATATAGGTTGAGGTTAGTTAATAGTTTTAGTAATTAAAATTAACATTGATGAGATTTTTGTTTAAAAAATAAAGTATTTGAATGTAACTTTACTTAATAACTCATATATCTATAATAGTAATTCACCGTTATAGATATTATATTTTTCGAAAACGACATTTAAATTAAGTTAAATGAGTACTATAAAACATGCTCGCATCAATCGCATGTATTGTACTGCAGACTCAGTGGAGTGCGCTGGCACACGGCAGTACCGCCCCCTGCCCCGCAAGCCCCCCGCCGTTGCTTGTACAAGTGCATACATTTCCCAACTGTTAGACACTCTTTAAACTGTAATATTACACTCCGATGTAACAGTTAAAAAATATTTGCCTTATTATTAAATAGTCTAACGGGCTGATGAAGAAGTTAATACATACCTCATTCGTTATTTCAGTGATGCGTAGCTCTGATCCTTCAGTAAACGTAGTATTGCTAGAAGATACTGCAGCTGTAGCGGGCGTTGTGGTAGCAGCTAGTTGCATGGCCATTTCCCAATATACCGGCAATCCGTTGCCAGATGCTATTGGAAGCATATTGGTGGGAACTATCCTGGGTTGCGTTGCTTCATTTATTATATTAAGCAATGTGGGTGCACTTGTTGGAAGGTAAAGTATTATATATTATGTTTTGAGACAAATTCATATTTTTACAAATCCCATATTTTTATTATTATTGTTTCTGTTCGGTAAATAATCAGGCATAGAAGGATAATAATTAAGTGGGTGAGGCTTATATTGCAGCCAACATATGACATCCGAGAGCTATGCCAAACGTAACTTGTTACTCAAAAACTTTATTATTTATTCTTCATTACCAGTATCGTTTTTAAAGTATTTAATTTGAGCACTTATAAACTTTTCCGTACATCCAAACAACTTGGAAATTTTACGAGACAAATACACTCTGAACACCCACTTTTTTTTAGACGCTTCAGAAATCTTGAAATTATCTTCTTTACTGTTAAACCTCTTGCCTTATATTTTTTCTTTGTTTTTTGGAAACTGGTAAAAATAACAAGGTAGTTCAGGGGAATAAAGTCTAATTTTTCGACAGACAGGCGCTGTCTTATTGTAGTGGCCAGACTATTGACTTCGGTCGTTTTTCAAACTAAGCTGATAATACATTTAAAGCACAAACTGTCACACACCACTTTGAATAAACCGCTCCTTGAACTTCACTATAGTAAATAGTAAAAATTTCACCAGTCTTGTTGAAAAATGAGGCAGACATTTGTTTCTGTGTGCTTAGCGCAAGGCGACATTTCGTTGGAATTTGCTCATCTTCGAAGTATCATACAATTCAGTCGACTCTCGTTTATTTCATTACTTTCAATAATTTAAACTGTTTTTATCATATTAATGCATAAGCAACTATAATTACCATATAATACCTACATAAAATTCATTTTTTTTTTCTTTAGATCTATTCCACAAGAACAATTAGACGAAATAAATAGTGTTTTGGAGAGAGATTTCATGATTCGAGCTATTCATGATGTCAAGGGTATAGATATAGGAAGTAATCTCATAAGATACAAAGTAAGTTGTTTTTATATATGTAATTTTAGAGGAAGAAACTGCCATTCGAGGCAATTTAAAATAATAATGGTTTTCTTCTAGAACATAACGGAACAATGTTATTAGTGATAGATATTATGTCATTGTTAATTAATATTAAAGTTGTCGTTTGGTGGCGGCACTCTATTTCGACCATTAATAATGCTTGCGCACTGCATCCAATCTGAATCAAAACGGGATACGAAAATTAATGTTGATCTGATGTCCGTCTAGGCCCTCGAAGGACGTTTGTCGATCAATGCCAGCAAAGAACGCCCTGCACGTTAGGGTGATTGCACACTTCAACGCCCCGGCACCACCTCATCTTAAGCCGATACTTTGAAAAGTGAGCTTTCAGTTGTGTTAGTCTATTGTAATGCAAATATATTGTATGCCGCGGCACGCGCGCTGGCGTTACGTCGTTCACTCCAGCCGCCTGCTGTAGGAATGCGGACTGCGGGCTGCTCGCAGGTCCGTGTTGCCTCCGCGTTGCCCCGCGTTGATACCGCGTTGCTACCGCGTCCTTTCGCGTTGCCTCCGCGTTGGTACCGCGTCCCTCCGCGTTGCCTCCGCGTTGCCCCGCGTTGCCTCCACGTTGCCACCGCGTCCCTCCGCGTCGCCACCGCATCGCCCCCACGTTAACTCCGCGTTGCCCCGCGTTGCCTCCACGTTGCCACCGCGTCGCCACCGCGTCGCCCCCACGTTAACTCCGCGTTGCCACCGCGTCCCTCCGCATTGCCTCCGCGTTGCCAACGCGTTTGCCACTCGCAGGCTGCGCGTCCACTGCGCTTGCGGCACGCGATCAACGCATGGCGTGTTTCTTCGTCGTCAAGTGTGATGGCTATTGCCAGGTCACGGAATGTGAAGTGAGACATCATTTCAAAAGCGACACTAGTTGACACGACTTCTATATATTGGTATGGTCCGCTATTGTTGACGGCGAACTGTGCCCGTTGACCACGCGCGGACGAAAAGTGGAAGCCTGACCGACGACGAGATAGCGACCCGTTGACGGCGAAGGTTGAAGCGGTGCTAATCTGTTGCTGATCAGGTGCCGGGTCGTTGTAGTGTCCGATGACCCTTATTTTGCAGAAGAACTTGTTTATTTGTAGTGTGAATTAACGGACGGACAGAACTTTCCGGTACACCAATGTGCTACGCACATCGTACGCGCACATATTTAGTTTGCTCCACTGTTGTACACCATATTTGAGTATACATAATACATATTATATTTTGTTTCTATTCTAGGCTGAAGTTGATTTTGACGGTAGAGCATTAACGCGTTCTTATTTAGAGAAACATGATTTAAATGTGTTATTAGAGGTAAGATATATAAAGATGTTTAATTTGTATTTAGCTGGAAAGTAGTTTTCATATTATTAACGGATTTATCGAGGATATTTAAATTTATTTAGTCCAATCGTTAATCATTCCAAACATATTATATAAAACAGCAATTTTGTTAGGTTTCAATTTTTTCTTTCTTCGCATTTATTTTTTATTTTTATTGTGTTATCTTTTTAGGATATAAAAAAGATCGAGACAATAGACGATGTAGAAGCATTCCTACTAAAACATGGTGAAAATATAGTAGATATGTTAGGCGGTGAGATTGACAGAATAGAGCTGAAATTAAGGGTAAGATTTTGAATGTATATATTTATTCATTCTCGTACAAAATTATATTACTTGTTAATTATTTTCATTTTTATATTTTCAGAAAAAGTTTCCACAAATTCGACATTGCGATTTGGAAATTTTGTAATTTCATGACAAATCGACATTCAAAATCCTTAGATGTTAATTTATTATATTCATTATTAATGTTGATAACCTTAAGCTTTAATCTACGTTACTGTAATTTAAGCTGAATTTGTAACTTTAAAACTAACAATTCACGTATAGATAAATGAATGTAACAGTTACAACTCGGAACCATAACTGTAATTAAAAAGATATAGTCTTAGTTTGTTCTGTGAACTTTTCACCGTCATCAAAATTAATAAAAGTTAACCCATATCGATGTTTGGAGAATATAGAAATTAATTTTTGTTAAGTGGGCATAAATCTACTGCTAAGTTGCGGTTTATAATGTGTTAAATTTTCATGCTTTTGAGTCTAAATATCCCTATCTTAAAAATGCACCTAAGTTTATCTATCCGATCCGATTTTTATAATATAAGTGTGACATCGTACACGGGTTAGAATGAGTGAGACGAAATATAGTCAAATTATCTTATTTGCATATTTTTAACACTAAAAATTTAATATTAATTTAAATTGGAAAATCGACCAAGTTCTGACTACTAAAAATAGCAAATTCAAGTCATATAATGCAGCCCATCGGAAGTCCACAACTGAACGTAGGCCTCCTCCAAGGAATGCCACAGAGCATGGTCCTGAGCTTGTATATTAGAAAATTATATTTAATGTTTCATTAAAATAAATGTAGAATTCATATTTTATATGTTTAAACTTTTTATTAGGAGACGAATGTGCCTTTTGCAGTTTATTGCTTGTAGCGCTACGAACGGTATTATTATAATATTATTTTGCTATGGGAGAAAATTACTAAATTATAATAAATAATGTACTATTAAAATGTAACTGCTAAAATATGATATAAAATCTTCACATCCAACTTTACACTTAAATCTTGCGGATGCTTTGTTCACTTAGTTCCACAATTATGCTCTACACTCTACATCCATGATGATTATTTTCTCCTCTTTTAATCCTAGTGTGGATTAATTGATAATTTTTTTCTCTTCGATCCATAGGTAGTTCAAAACAGGTTGAAAGAATCTTGTCATTCACCAAATAAAGGCTCTTCCACAGCTTTCGCCGGCTGCAGTCGTGACTTGATCCGGCACAGCCACGTTACTCAAGTGGTTGTGTTGTGATGTATTGTAGTTATCTACAGCACAATTTGGCTAGTTACAATGAGAGGAAGTTTCTATGGCACTACTGAGTGCAAGTTCAACCGTTTGAAAAGTGTACTAAAATAATACAATAATTATTTTTGTAGTAGTAATATATCTATGTGGTAAGAGGTGGTAAAGTCTCCTGGTAATTTACACTATCCGAGCACTTCTGATGTTGTTAAGTTAGGTAGAAATCATAGTTAATTATTTATATAATCCCCAAATTAAAATAGTTACTCTCAGGAATTAAAAAATATCACCAAAATTAGTTTGATTCTTAGCCAGCACTTCTGTTTACATTATTACAAGTATTTTGCAACCCTGTACAAAGGTAAAGATCAAAGTTGCATAAAATGCAGGTTGGGCTTTTATGCAACTTTGATCTTTAGCAATTTTAGAAAAACTAAAAAACAAGACAAGCAGGAAGAGAGAGAATCCAAGAATATCTTTATAACGTTCCGAATTAACAGACACGGTAAACATTGTCAAAGAAAGATGGTCCGTCAGATTAAACCTCTAGCTGATTTTGCTACCCGATCTGTAACTTTTTGCCACTGAAGTGGTTTCTAATGTATCAATAACGGCTGCGCCGTACTCTAGAGTCGGTAATTTTGCTTGTTAACTAAACAATTAATATGAACGTGGGTCTTATCCGAAAAGAGATGTTTTCACAATTAAAGAACATTAAAGCATCAGCATAAAGCATCTCTTAGTGAACTCCTCTTCCTTTAATTCTTATACGAGTTGATTTTTTTAAAGGATGAAGTTTTAAATCGCTTGTCAAGATTCGCCTTAACCTTGTACGGGCCTCCCATAAGTTTGAACGCCTAAGGGTTCAGAGTTCCGGATCCACTCCCAAGTTTCACTATTCTTTGTTCAGTCCGTGAAGTCTGCGGTGACGTCTAATCGGCAATATCGAACATGTTTTTTCAAATTTTTTACATTACTACATTAAAATTTGATTAAATTTAATGTAATATAGGAACGATCATAAGGAACGCGCTCTGTTTACCCATGAAGTGAGTCGTGGCTACTTTATCTGAACTAAATGCGCGACCGAACATCACCCTCACCCCTTGCGCACGTCTCTTCTTGCACTTCGCGGTATTATTTAAAGTATAAAAGTGAAGTTTATTATTGCTCATCCTGTATTATTATTTTGAAACCAACCTTGACGGAACGAAGATGCATAGAAAATATTATTTTAGGTTCCATAACGTGAATCCAAGTGAGTGGAGCGTTTGCAATTTGTGATGTAACAATACATGTAAATATATATATTATGTATGTGGACGTAGTTTCCGATAATGCTTGTCGCCTATTAATACGGCACTTAACTTGTGTAAACAACTGTGACAAAAATAAACTAGTTACTTAAAATGTACCTTTTTAATGTAAATAACTTTGGTTATTAAAAATGGACCTGCTTACACCTTACAGTTTTAAGTTTTTTTTTTCACCTGACAAGTTTTTAAGTTTACAAAATGTAAAGATAGGTGTCTACTGCAAAATCGAAACGAAGGCGGGCGAGCCGTAACCAAATACGCAATTAAGTAATGGCGTGAGTGCATCACACGTCCGCGTTGCTACTCCGTCCTGCTTAAGCCTCGCCCTCACAATCGAATCAGAGCGCAGTTGTTATTTATTCTAAAGGAAAACGACGTACGCCTGGAAAATGAGCGCGCCGCGACTGTTGCCTCTGTGATACATTAAGGCAACTCGCCCGTGTACAGTCTTGGCTCAGCTCAGGCGCAGTCAAATACAGAGAAAAATAGCAGAGTTTGAAGTGGACACGATCACGCCTCGCTTTAAATCAGCAAGCCCAGCTGCCATTTTTTCCAAAGGTTCACCTTTGGAAAACATAGGAGGCACGCGTAACATCCGCAATGTGAATTTGTCTTAAAATAATGTCTTATATATTATATAGGTATGATGGTATATATATATATATATACACATCCGTCGTAGCACCGTACTCTGGTTCTGTACTCGAATAGCCCTATTGTACAAACACTTAAGCATTTCAATATACCTGCAGTCAACTTGTAATCGCTGAATGGACTGTAGCACCGCCTAAATTTCGACGGAATCAGACTTTCTCATAGTCCACAACTGCAAGACAAAGTGATAGATTGTTACTTCTTGTTTTCTTACAATTTGCCGAAGAGTGTGTATTTGGTTATCGGAACTAAAGCCTTTTCGGTAATCGGCATATTCGGTAGGCTGGAAGTTATCAAGCTTGCGTGCGAGACGATTCGTAAGGACTCTAGAAAACAGCACAAAGATGTAGCTCAGAAGCGAAATCGTTCTTTAGTTATTCAATAGAACATTGTCGCCTTTCTTGAATAACAAAACTACCGCACTTCTGCTCCACGCCTTCGGAGTAGTGCCACCGTGGAGGACGGAATAGAAGAGCTGCTGAAGAACTTTAAGTACCTGTTTTCTACCCGCTTTAATAAGGCTTGCTCTTGGATCGTTACTCACACTTGCGTGTGGCTCTAACGATTATGTGCACAGCTATCCGTAGAACCTCTCAATCTTACTCAAAATCTCAGGTGACCCGGAAACGATGCTACCGCCTTCAACTTTGACTGTTGGCTCTTTCCGGCAGACCGATCTCTGGCAAACATTTTGAAGCCTTGGTTCCGCTTGATTGCTTCTTCAATACGAGCTGTATTAAAGTTGCGTAAGTCTTGTCCCAAACATTTGGCGATATAATCAGTTGACTGTACGTTGTCATATCTACTGAAGGCTTCATTTCCCGTCTAATAGCCATAAGATTAAGAATGTGATTGGAGAATTTTTGGAATCTTCAGAGACGGATCTTGCAGAACTTAGCTTAGAACGCATGTAGTTTCCACATGCTTGCCATTTAAATCGTCAACTGTATTGCAATCTTCAAGGCACTGAAAACAATTTTGTAATTCAAGCTAAAAGTTTTCTTAGATAGAGGTCAATTGAGACAGACACGAGGGAGATGGAGCGTTTACTTCGTTAGACATGACTTTTCCAACTCAACTTTAAAGTTCAGTATGCCAATCGGTGATCGCTACCAGTTTTCACCTTTGCGATCACTGATCACTTGCGGTTTGGTCATTAAGAAGTAGAACTCATTTTTTTGTTGAACCGTCGGAACTTGACCAGGTCTACTTTCTGTAGTACCGCTTCATGAAGAAAGAGTTAATCATTAAGAGTCCCTTCTTCTCCACGAGTAGTCTGCCAGCTGTTGACCCCTTGGGTTACGTTGCATTTTTCCGAATTCCCCCTACCTCCAGCTCACCATTTTCTCTTGTACCCAGTTTTACGTTAGTCTTCAAGTCATTGCTGGCTCCATAAATATCCTCATACGTTTTCTCCACCTCCTCATCCTGATATACCTACTAAGGTCAGTCCTTAAACCTGAATGACCTTCAACGAACACTCACTCCTGGAGCCTTTGTAGTAGTTGTATGGGTGTGATATCGGGTTGTCTTCTAGCGGTCATTTGGATAAATCGATCCTGTCTCTGCGTAGTAACACGATATCTACCCGTGTGTTATTCAGTCACAACAGTACTGCGATAACGTGACCACAACTGATGTGTAGGGCCTCAGCAACGACGCGTTGAATAGCACCGTTTTCTAACATGCCCATGGCTCGTAACATTTCATCTCTACTCAAATGAAGACGTGACATGACTCTTAAAGATCACACATTAAATTCGAATTCCTTTTCATTAATTAATATCAGTAGAACAAGGACATTTAAGTAGTAGTAATAGACCGGACATCAGCAACAAAATGATCGTCTCTTACTTATGTCCTGTGGGATATATTTCGGATCTGTCATTTAGTCTTAGTGA